AGCTTCAGAAGAGTCCCTGAAGGTGGCGATTTTGCCCCCTCTGGCCTCCGGGGGTGGGGGCTGGCTGAGCCTCCAAAGGGTCCTAGTTTGTGTTCCATAAGACGGACCTCTCCATAAGGCTCACCAAATTTTTAGAAGAAAACAGGTTATTTTTTTTCCTGTTTTCTTTTCCTAAAAATTTGGTGCATCTTATGGAGAGGTGTGTCTTATGGAGCAAAAAATACAGTAGTCAGAGTTCAATGAAAAGTAATTGGAAAAGTAACAATGTGCTAATAGTTCTTTTTTACTACAGGCTAATAAAAAAATCGAGACTTGTGTGAGTCTCCAAGGCAAAGAACAACAGCTTCAAAACTTTTCAGAATATTCTTGTGCACTTCATTCAAAATAGGCAGATAAGATACTTCAGGTTTATCTTAAAGCTTGTGATGGAGATGGTTGAGTCCTGACCATTCAGTGCTTCTTGGCTCATTCAATTAAGCTTATGGAGTGGACATTACAATGGGATGAATCTAAATGTGTTACACATCTGCATTTAAGATTGCTTAAAATAATGCCGATGTCTGCTTGCTTTGAGTTCCTTTTCAGGGAAACAGGTTTGATATGATATAAAAAATTTAAATAAATATACATATATTTTAATAATTGTCCATGGCAACCCATACAACTTGGAAAGAGAGACTGTGAGCTCCTTAAATCAGAAACGTGGCTGTGATTTGTTTACTGCTTATGTTGCTTTATTATTCCACTTTAACTTTTAATTAATCTGAAGTAGTTCAGAATTTGCAAAGGATGCATTGGCTAGGCTGGAATGGGCACATGAAAGGGGAGATATCACACAAATCAGGGTGCCCCACCTTTATGAAACACATTTGGATCAACTATAATACTAGAGTGATTAGTTATTACAGATTGACATAGGAATGATTGAAGTTCACCCAACCTAAATTTCTTGCTTTCCAGTACCTGCTTTAACAAAAGCACTGAACCAGCCTTAAATTCGCTCTCTTTCTCCTCCAGCAACAGACGATGTATTGTGCCCTGAATTTCCCCTGCGGGACAGAAGACCAAAGAAGTTAGGCCCAATAACACAGTGCAGCCACAGCCAAAACACATTTGCATGATCACTGGTAAGCTTCATCATCCTGATATAGAGGAAAAGTCTGAGACATTCAGCTATCTAACCTATCATTCCTCAAACAATTTCCCCCAAAACAAATACCCTTGCTTCACGAGCAGAATCTGTCACAGAAGCCCTTTAAGTAGATTCAACTGTGAGAATAATCCTCTGCCTAGTTTCCTCAGCTTGGGAGAGGGCTGGAATTCATCCAGTACATCTTGGGCAACCTCTGACTTTCCTCCCAAGCTTGGGTAGAGCAGAGAAAGAGAAGAATCATCTATGACCCACGTTGAGTGTCAGAAGGGCTCCAAGAACCTTAGAAGTTCAACATGATGTCAGAGACAAGGTCCAGACTTCAAATCACTGGGTGAGAAACATGGTCTTCATAATCACAAATAGGGATATACTTTTCTGTACTTTTGGACTCCAGCTTCGCCTAGAATTCCCCAGGCAGAATTCTGGAAATTCCAGCCCACATATACAAATCTACAGACCCTAGATTTCAGCACCACCCCCGAGAAGGGCTTCTTCCTAGAGCTGTATCAACTTAGAGCTTAATGGGCAGCAAAACTCAAACTCCCTATCAACTTAGAGCTTAATGGGCAGCAAAAATCAAACTCCCAAATCCTCTGCACTCAGGTTGTCAACCATTGCTATTATCACCAACCAGGCCCCATTCAGACCACCGCAAAGCGATCACAAAAGTGATAGCAAAATCCTCATCACTATGCGATTTCATCGTTAAACGGGGTGCCCGTTAAGTGAGGCACCACTGTATCCTCTGCACTCAGGTTGTCAACCACTGCTAATATCAGATCACCAACCAGGTGTGGAGGATGCTGGGAGTCACAGTCTCATTGACCATTCGTTTTTATAGTGTGCCTCCCAAAGTGCTACGACTTCCAGGAAAGAACGTGGTTGCTTTCTTTTTGAAAAAAATGACAACACAATATGGTGGCCATTTTGGGTGCCCGGTAAGCGAGGAATCCATCTCTAAACACAGCGGGCGGCCATGTTTTTTACCTGGCGGCCATTTTGGAACCGCCGATCAGCTGTTTTAAAATCATCATTTTGCGATGATCAGTAAGCGAGGCAGGGTACCGATCATCGCAAAGTGAAAAAACCCCATTCAGACCACCGCAAAGCGATCACAAAAGTGATAGCAAAATCCTCATCACTATGCGATTTCATCGTTAAACGGGGTGCCCGTTAAGTGAGGCACCACTGTATCCTCTGCACTCAGGTTGTCAACCACTGCTAATATCAGATCACCAACCAGGTGTGGAGGATGCTGGGAGTCACAGTCTCATTGACCATTCGTTTTTATAGTGTGCCTCCCAAAGTGCTACGACTTCCAGAAAGGAATGTGGTTGCTTTCTTTCTGAAAAAATAACAACAGAAAGCAAGCATCAGAGAAGCTGAAGCAAACTTCGGAGACAAGCCCTTCTCCAAGGGATGAAATCTAGGGATCTGCAGATTTGTTTGTGGGCTGAAACTCCCAGAATTCTGGAGGTCAGAGTCCAAAAGCACAAAAGAGCACACTCAACTACAAATGTTGGCATCGCAAAGTGAAAAAACCCCATTCAGACCACCGCAAAGCGATCACAAAAGTGATAGCAAAATCCTCATCACTATGCGATTTCATCGTTAAACGGGGTGCCCGTTAAGTGAGGCACCACTGTATCCTCTGCACTCAGGTTGTCAACCACTGCTAATATCAGATCACCAACCAGGTGTGGAGGATGCTGGGAGTCACAGTCTCATTGACCATTCGTTTTTATAGTGTGCCTCCCAAAGTGCTACGACTTCCAGAAAGGAATGTGGTTGCTTTCTTTCTGAAAAAATAACAACAGAAAGCAAGCATCAGAGAAGCTGAAGCAAACTTCGGAGACAAGCCCTTCTCCAAGGGATGAAATCTAGGGATCTGCAGATTTGTTTGTGGGCTGAAACTCCCAGAATTCTGGAGGTCAGAGTCCAAAAGCACAAAAGAGCACACTCAACTACAAATGTTGGCTGTCTGCCAAAATCAATCAAAATGTGTGATTTGTGATCAGCAATAAGAGTGGCTTGTTTGCAAGATACTTCAGAACAAAAGACAAAACACAAGAAATATACTAACTTGCTTACACAACCCTTGTGCCAGCCACCATTAGGAAGATGTGAGATTCTCATTGCAAGGGATCTCTATATGAAGGTGAAACATGAAATCCAAACCACCTGAATTCTAAAATTGTCTATGGATTACAGTGGTCAGCGATTTCCTGGATGTTTGAATAAGCAACTTGAGAACCATAATTATTATTATCGAGCCAAATGTTAGCCAACTGCAAGCTGGGTTTGCCCAGGTCATAAGCCAGTAGTTGTCAACATTTGGCCCTCCAGATGTTTTGAACTTCCACTCCCAGGAAGCACAGCCAGATGAGTCAATGATCAGGGATACTGGGAGCTCAAGCCCAAAACATCTGGCAAGTCAAAGATTGAGAACCAATGCCATAAGCAGGAAACTTCTTCAGAGGTTGCAGGTAGAGAAAAACATTCCAGATGTTGCTGGGCTGCAGTTCCTATCAGTCCTAGCCTGCACAGCCAAAGAAAGGTTGAGCTGCAATCCAACACAAAACTACAGGGGAACATTTTCCTCACTCTTGCACTAGACTGAGCATTTTCCACCCTTACCAGTTGGGTCTTTGAGCACAGCACCTGCATCAACATTGGTCCTCGTCAGTGATTTAATCATTACCGCCATGCTGGGAACCTTGTTCTTTGGGAGTTGCTTCAGAGCTGCCTTCATGGAGGAGAAAAAGTCAGATATACAGAGGATTCAGGTATATTTTTAATTAGAGATGAGAGCTTCATATTCATATACAAATATGAAGCCCCCTTGGCACAGGTGGCCACCCTGATTTTCTCCCATTCCCAGACCCCACCGGACCACTTACTGTGCAGTGCGCATCACTGGCATCATCGTCACCATGCCAATCGGGACAGTAGCCTAGCTAACGTAGCCCCACCTCCTTGCTTGCCCAGCCAGTCCAGCAAGGGGGCGGGAGGACAAATCTTCCTGCTCAGCTGCAGAGTGGCTGGGCAAGCAGGAAGGCGGGGCTGCGGCAGCCAGGCAGGATTATTTAAGGCCACCTAGAACCAGCCACGTTGTTTGCCCTCTGCTGGACTATGTGTTATGCAAACATAAAACTAGAGTCTTGTCAAAGAGATGTAGGCAGACAACATTATGCTCCTGTTTTGGGCAAGCAGTGACTTTCCATGGGCTGGATTTGGAGGGGACACTGACTATTGACTCTAAGCTATTCTGGAGGAGTTCCAGACATACAACTCTAGTAATATTGCAATGTCTTATTGAAGTTGTGTTCAGTCCCCTACATTACTTTCTAATAATCTGTTCAAAAATCACCATTCCGCACAGCAGCTGAAGGAGAATCTTTCCACCCACAAAACGAGGCCAGCCTTTACCTTACGAAGCACCATAATAACGCTGTAAGTCCGAAGGAAGCAGGATGGGTCTCTTTCATCCAATCCCATCTCTGTTTTCATGGCAACCCAGGGTCCTCTTTCAAATTCCAGTTCTGTTGGCTGCTGGGAAGCAGACAGTTCCTGGAAGCACAGCAGACTAATGCCAGATTAAGGTTTACCTTGAGCCGACTCAGCATTGCCATTTTGCCCAAACAGCATAATGGAATTGCATCCCTTCCTCTGCTTATCCTAGCAACAATCCTTCTCTACATCTTCCCCCTCCATTTACATATATAATACAGTATAGCTAAGAGAAAACTATCTATTAATATATAATAAACTGTCTCCCCAATTTTGATTAAAGGAAATAAATCATACATGAGCAGTCTGATTTGTTTTCTTTCTATTCCAGATGCCCAGGACTAGTTTTGGTTAATTGTGGGTGTACAAATGCATTCAGTGCATGCTCAGAATCATTCTTCCATGACAGAAGCCAAGTATAAAATAAGAGTTTCCAGGATGACACTACAGTTCACCAGGTGAATTTACACAAGTCACTAATATTTAAAGCTGGATATTTAATCTGTACAACAGGAATGTCAAATGATCATGCAAGCTACTACAGTTATATATTTCAAGCCCCATCTTTTTGTTAGAAACAATAACATTTTTTTCTTCTTCTGCAAGAGCAAAAGACTGGGTGAAAGAGAGGGGATGCTCAGGGTTCAGTCCCAAAGATGCAACTCTGCTTAGCTTTCTCAAGGCAACACATAATACTTGGTGGCTGAAATCCTGTTGCTTTATGTAGTAAGTCATGACTACAGTAGGCCCATTGAATCAATGGAATTCATAGAGGAGTTGACTCAACAAATCTCACTGTTTTAATTGGCTACTCTGTTTGTGACTTACTGTGCTAAGGAACAGGATTCCACTAGAGTTTTATCTTGTTTTCAGTTATCCAGTGGGGTTGTTTCCCAAGACCCACAGTAAGCAGCAGAAGATACTGTATTTAATGCTTTAATCCCCAGCCAAGATCTCAACAAAAAAAATCTCAAATGAATTGATATAACTGGTTGATTTTCTCAAGTTAACAGCTTTGCAAGTGTGATTGAAATGTTGATTATAGGATGTAAGTGAAAGCTTACATCCTGCAATGTAACTCCCCCCAAAAACAAAAACCAGCTACTAAATTAGAAAGCCCTTAGTTTTTAATGAAGTGCTCACCTGGCTCAGTGAGTTACATACCTGGCTGTGGAGTCAGAGACCAGAGGTTTGATTCCTCACTGTGCCCCCCTGGAAAAAAGCCAGCCTGTGTGGCTTTAGGCAAGTTGCAGAATCCTAGGGTGCCTTCATAAGAAAGACCAGAGGTTTGATTCCTCACTGTGCCCTGCTGGAAAAAAAGCCAGCCTGTGTGGCCTTGGGCAAGTTGCAGAATCCTAGGGTGCTTTCAGAAGGGGGAATGGTAAACTATTCTATACCATAAAAAACTCTTGATAGGGTCATTATAAGTCAGAATTGACTAGATGACACATAATTATTATTAATAAAGTGTTCAGTGCAGTGGTGGGTAATTTTGGCCTTACAACTGTTTCGGAATTCAGTTCTTAGAAGTTAGGACATGAAGGCCAATGGTAAATGACTGCAGGAACCAAGGTCTAAAATATTTGGAGCACAACAGTTTCAGGTTTCAGAGGCAATGCACAATTCTAAAGCCCCATGTTTGATACAAGAAAGGGTTTGTTTGTTTTTTGCTAGGAAGAGAAAACAGATGAGTAGAACAACGAAATTACCTCAGTTTGTAACTTTGCAAGAGCCCCATGAGTTGGTGTCTGTGGAGTTGTAACAAGAATCTCTTCCAAATTTCTTCCATCAGGCTTTTTGAAGAAAACAAAGTGAGAACATTTTTATACATTCAGCATTTATCACACCTGGAAATAATTAACCTAAGGATAACAATATTTTTAAATGAAAACAAGATTTAGAGATGTTGAATTTCATCCTCTGGGGGAAAAAAGCCTTCGTCATTCAAAATGTCTACATATTCCTACTGATAGAACACTATAGTATAAAATTGAGCTAAAACAGGGCTAAGCAACTGTGGCTTAATTTATAGCTTCAATTTGAGCTAAAACAGGGCTAAGCAACTGTGGCCCTCAATGTGCTACTAGACTGAAGTGCATATGATCACTTAGTATCCTGATTAAGGCTGCTAATTTCAGGCTAAAAACATCTGAAGGGCCATAGTTGTCTATCCTTGGATAAAAAGATTAGCTTCAATTTCGTAACAAAGAGAAATCATTCTCCTACCTCTGCCTGATGATACTCCCAGCAAAAGCTATGGCCCGAAAAACCCACAACAACCATTAGCTTCAATTTCCTAACAAAAAGAAAACATTATCCTACCTCTGCTTGATGACAATCCCAGCAAAAGCTATGGCAATGAATCAAAAGAAAAGTCAAAAGTATCTCCTTCTTACACCCGACTGCTCGCCACTTTTAATATAGGACAATTTTTAGACATTTTAACTTGCTGAGATTTTTTAAAGGAGAAAAAGATATTTAACTGAGTTTCAAATGTTGTATGGATGTTTTTGTATGTCTTGTGGAACATTTAACCTTGAATGCAAAGTGAAATTACCTCATGAACAAATATTCCAAGAAAACTTTAAACATATAAGATAGGAGCAACCCCCATTACTAGAACCCACCAACCATTAAAAAAAAACAAGCAAGCGGCAACTTTTATCTGTTTTTTGTGCATCTGAACCACTGTGGGCTCCTATCAAGAGTTGAGATGAATTAGATCACAGTAGTCTATTACCCACACCCTCTTTATTTATTTAATTCTTTAAAGCTATGGGAAATGCATCCTACTCATTTATGCATACAGACTGTATATCGCCCTTTGTGCTGACAATGCTCTTACTTGGTGCGGTAAAAGGCCTGCAGGTCCAGGGAAGCGGCGAACCTTTGTCCTCAAAGAAATGTGGGACACTGGTTGTGGTGTCTTGTTAGCTGCTGTGACCAAACGGACAAGGTGGTTGGTGACTACAGGTGTCTGGAGGTTTCCAGCAGTTGCAGTTGAAAGTGAGGCTTTTGTGGTGGCAGGTGAGGTCATCACAGGTACCCCTGAAGAACCATATGCAGTAAGAAGCTGAGCACCACTACTGAGCTTTGCTGGCCCAGAAACACTTTGGTTGGACATCCATGGTTTGGATGTTCTTGGAGGGGTACTTGCAGATAGGAAGGAAGATGATGATCTATCCAACCCAAAACCCAAACTGTTACATTCAGCAATGGATTTGCCCAGAGGCATATGAAGAGATTTAAGCATTTGACGGTTGGAGTTTGAACGAGTGTCTGTATTGCCACTCACTCCTGGGATAGACCAGGACATACATGATGCTGTAGTGGTGGACTGCGAAGTCACTTTTGAAGAAGTTTCCACAGGCTGAAGATGGCTGATAACTTCTGTGAAAGTTTTTTCCTGAGCCTTTTCCAATGGTGTGTTCTCTGAACCAAAAGAGTTGGTCAATACTAATGGATTTGCCACTCGTGGTTTCTTGGCTGTTGCCACACTGCTATTCCTCAACTGTTCCCGAGTCTCACAGTCAGACCTAAAAGACCTTGGACATGACTGTACACCGGACTCTTCCACGTCCATGCATGCAGCCAGTACAAGCTCATTGTCAATCTCCTCATCACAGGGAACATCACAAGAGGGAAGCACAGCTGCTTGTCTTTTCACAAACTTGAACCTTCTGCCTGAATTAGCAGTTGATTTGCATCCAGGTGTTAAGGTTGTATGGTCCTTCTGAATCTTCAAGCTGTTCACCAGAGGAGATATCTGGTTACATTTGATCTGTCTGGGGCAACTGCTGTGTCCAAACCCTGGCTGGTCCTCAACACTTACAACAGGAGATGTAGCTACAGAAGAGAATTTGGTGCCAGAGTCCTTAGCCAGTGTGATGGTGCTGCTGGGGACTCCAGTTGAGAGGGGCCTCAGACCTTTAAAGCTGGCAGGTGGTAGATCTGAGGCCTGCTTTTCCACATCCCTCACTGCCAACAAGAAATCCTACCAAAGAGAAAGGGACAAAAGCTATCTTACAACTTGTTAGTCTATATAAGTTTGAGAGCATCCTGTCCCCCCACTTCTGATAAGTGGGGATGAAGCATGACTTCTGAGATTTAGCCTTAAGGGATCTGCCTTGGCCTAAGAAAAGGTGGGCACAGAGGATCCCTGGATTCTTGTGGCCTCGGCTTCTCCTTTTTCTGGCAAAAAATGGACTGCAGCTCCTGGATGGCATCAGAAATGGAAACTCACCTTTCAAACAGATCACAGGGCCTATTTGTATGATGTAACACCCCCCACACCAATTCTTTAAAACTGGAAGTGAGCTTCTAATCAACTCTACTAAGGAGAAAAGTAGAATTAAAATAAAATAAAATAAATTCAGTTTTATTTTTTGCAGTTTCAGCACTTTAAGTAGTCCCCAGAGTATACCTGGCTTGCCAAAGCTGCCCATCTCTGCTCTAAAGGCACAAGCCCCCCTTCACCAAGTAAGGACTGCACCATCATACCCAAGATGTTGCATCTCCCACTATATAGCTATAGTTCATCAATATTTCTTACCTCGTCTTCAAAATCCGCCTCCACAGAAAATAGTTTCTGCAGGCTGCAGGCCTGTGGGGACAATAACATTACTTACAAAATGTATCCCAATTACCCATTTTAAAAATGTTAACATATTCCTCATTAACTCTTATGCACAATATACTCTTTTTCTCCCCATCTCGCAATACTATCAGTTGACATCATCCAATGAAAATGATGAGCAGTAGTTTCAGGACTGTGCTATGTTACTGTTTACAGTTAAAAAAAACAGGGAGGGGGGTATGAATAGCTAAAATTAACAGATTTCATTATACCACAAGAGTGCCAGGACTATAACCCCACTTCTTAAAATGCCTGGAATTATCACTTATATTGAGAGAGAGAGAGAGAGAGAGAGAGAGGCATGGGAATGGTGTGGAGACTGTAAAGAATAGTAAAAGACAATAGTGGGTCTGCAGAGTCCAAACACACACATGATGTGAAAAATATGTGATCTATTTACAAAAGTTGTTACAATCTGTATAGTAAGAAAAATACAATCTGTTTTAGAATAGAAATTCATGGTCAGCAAAAATAAATAAAATAAATAGAAACATAACCAGTATCTTTGAACTGTCCCATATTACAGGTTGATAGGAAATGTTATCTTAGGAAGTTCACATATTCCAGACTGACGTGGCTTCTCAGATCTGGGTGGGAGATGTTGTTTGGTATTGCACAAAATAAGACCAATAACAATAACAGAAAATACTCCCTCTGGAGTCCTGGCTGCACATCATCACCATGTACCGTAATTTCTGCAAGGAACCATATTTATAACCCCATATCTTGGGAGTGTATTTCTGATTTTGTACAAGGCAGTGTGAGACTCCCACTTTGCTGACAATGTTCACGTATAATTTTGAAGGCCTTTTGTAAAGCACTTTTGAGTGTTTTTTGGGATTAGGAGGTAGAATATAAATAATCTAAGTAAGTATACGACAAATATGCTATCCCTTTAATTCAAAAGCTTGCTTACTTCTTCTAATTTAATAGACTAGAGTAAAGCACTTTTGAGTGTTTTGGGGGATTAGGAGGTAGAATATAAATAATCTAAGTATATGACAAATATGCTACCCCTTTAATTCAAAAGCTTGCTTACTTTTTCTAATTTAATGGACTAGTCCTGTTGCTAAACCAACTAAAGGAGATCCATTTGAGCAATCATAGAGTAAATCAACCCTTATGTAAATTCCATTGAGTCAATAGGTCTGCTCTAGGTGGGCCCATCGTCCATGCTGACATTTCACACCATTTTAAATTGTAAGCCACTTTGAGGATCTCCTAATATCCATACGACTTGCCACAAAGATAGTGCACAATTCAAATAAAATAAATCATACAGGCAAACAACAAACCATACCAAAGCAGTAATGCCGTATTTAGCATAAATAAATCAACTATCTGGATGTTTAATTCCTAGCAGGGCACACCATTTTAAATTGCACAAGAGTTTCCTTGCACAAGAGTTTCCATGCACAAGGCAACTGCATGCATTTACTGTAATTTGTATTTTATTCCTCTATCTGCAACGCCTACTCTCAAGTTATCTCTGCCTGTCGTTTACCATGCTGGAGGCGCGACAGTCCCCAAGCTTAGTCGCAGGAAGATAAAGAACGACGGGAGGAACTCGGTAGACGAGGCCTCACCACCGGGCATCTCTGTTCAAACTCCACTTCAAATCAGCCTCCCCTACGAGGACGGAACTGACCGCACGTTGCGCCTGCGCACTACCTCACCCATGGCTGCCTCCGCCTTACTTCACGCTTTCTTTCCGCCGCCGGGAGCGTCTCCTTCCTTTACTGCGCATGCGCAAGGGAGGGCACCATAAATCTTTTGTCTATTCCCGGGTATTTTGCTTGCGATAAAACGTGAAAGACTTGTGTGATATGAAAAGGCAGTTTTCATGATTTTCGCTGCCTTAGTCTGAACGGGAGTGTATGACTTTTCGAAGCATAGTAATGTAGGTAAAATCCTGTTTTTAGCGATAGATGCCGTCCCCAACTTTCCATTCATCGGGGAAATCTGTGTAAAAGAGAAGGGCTGATAACGTACTTACAAAAATTTGCTTGCTTAGTTTGTTTATATATTGTCTCAAAATGACCTACAACAATAACAGAACGATGTAAAATAATACATAAGCTTAAGAGGACAATATCTCCGTAAAAGCGATTGATGGTTGTCTTTGCATTATTTTAACAAGTAAGGCTCACGTGACAAGGTTCTTGTATTTATTATTAAACAAAATCATACAAACATAAAAATATCTAGTAACATACAAATTTGTACAAATTGCCTCCCCCTGGGAGTTACAACCATTTGCTCTTGCGAAGGTGCATATCCCATCTCTTTCATTAATATATCGAAGGGGTCAAATTAATACAGGTACAGTAATATAGATATGTATACTGTATTAGCCTAACCATAGCCACCTTGCTTTCTGTAACTTGCTTTCCTACATAAATGTGTAAACCCATTGTATCACGGTTTTTGCTTAGCAGATAAGAATAGACAAAGGAGGGAGACTGCCTGAATTGCTTTTGCTTGCAACTAACTAGGAATGTGTCCTTGGTCAATTACAGTATAAGGGACCTGGGAGTCTCAGCGCCTGGAACTGGGAGGGATGATGTCTACAAACCCTCCTTTCCTCCCCCTTCTCATTTCAAACTTATAAAAGGATATTCTGTAATGAGCGCGGCAAGCTTCTCGACATGTTTCTGCGAATGAAGTTTGTGACTATTTGCTTGATTTCAGCTGAAAATAAATACCTATTGGATGTCTCTGGCTGATTGATTACTGCATTAGAGACAGGAAAAAAGTCAGGAAATAGTCTCGACGAAGCTAATTTTGAAGCAATGGACTAAAAACCAATTAATCCGTTCTGGCTGTTTTTTTTATGTAGAGGTGCGTTCGTACATTGAAGCATTAGTTCCCATAGGAACTAATGCAAAGCTGGTTAATACGTACTCTACCACTAGGGGGAGAACTTTTTTTTAACCTAAGATGACCTAAGGTTAAAAAAAGAGCAGGAAAGTTTTTTTTTCCTGTTCTTATCTGGATTTTTGTTCTCAAGTAGAAGCAAAATTTAGCAAATGGAGCTGTTCTTAAGTGGAATTGTTCTTAAGTAGGGACGTTCTTAAGTAGAGACCCCACTGTAGCCAAACCATAGCCACCTTGCTTTCTGTAACTTGCTTTGCTACATAAATGTGTAAACCCATTGTATCAGGGTTTTTGCTTAGCAGATAAGAATAGACAAAGGAGGGAGGCTGCCTGAATTGCTTTTGCTTGCAACTAACTGGGAATGTGTCCTTGGTGGGGGGGTGGCCGGGTGCTGTGACGGGGGGGGGGGGGAGAGAGGAGGGCACGACATAAATTTTTCTTTAAAACCCTCACAGAATCGCCTTGCCAAAGGAGAAAAGCCCCCATCAGTACCTGCAAAATTAAACAGTACGGGGTGGGCCCCCCACAGGCACACGCACATGCACACACACATGGAGGTCCGGCAACCTTCCTCTGAGGGCCCCCCTCAAAAAAAGGCGCACTCAGCAGCAGCTACCCCCACCAAGACAGAAGAGCAAACTTTGCGAAGCAAGCCCAGGCATCCTCCAGAGCTGAGGCGGCTGAAGCAGGACAAAGAGGAGGAGTTGAGGCGGCTGCTGGCCGGGCGGGTGCTGGGGGGGCCGAGA